GCGGGCACCGTAGGCACAGCGCCAAGCAGGCGCAGCTTGGAGCAGGCGTTGTGGGCCACTGTGAAAGTGGCGGCCACTGTGAAAGTGGTTGAGTACTGGCTCGCCCAACGACTCTGACGGGTTCGCCCAACGACTCTGACGGGTTCGCCCAACGGCCCCTTAGTACTGGCTCGCGACTCTGAGTACGGGTTCGCCCAACGACTCTGAGTACGGGCTCGCCCAACGACTCTGAGCGCTGGCTCGCCCAACCTCGTTTGATGGCTCGCCCAACGTGGAGGCTTCGATACCGAGCGCGCCACATTCCTGCCGCGCCACCTGCCTGGCATCGAAGCCTCCCCGGCCGCACCACCTGCCCGGCATCGGAGCCACAGCCCGACGGGTTCGCCCAACGACTCTTAGTAGCTGAACTCCACGCGGGCAACGCCCAAAAAATGGTCCGTGCCTGTTTCCAGTTCCGAACTCCACGCGGGCAGCAACCAAAAAATGGTCCGTGCCTGTTGTCAGTTCCGAGGCACTTCGAGAACAGAAGTGGCACTTGTGTTCTCAAGCACAGCCGCGCCTGACACGCCACCCGTTCGCCCCAGGTCTTGCTCGGTGTCCTTCTTGACGGGGATCCAGCCATCGTCGATGTTGACACTTGGGCTGAAGATGTAGATTTTCTCGAAGACGCCTCGATACTGCTCCAGGATGAGGCTGATCAGCGCCACGGTTTTGCCGGACTTGCTGGGGCCGAGGAAAATGCCCGTGCATGGCACCAGGGGCACCACGGGGTCCGAGGGCTGCTTGCTGCTATACTCAGTCGTAGGAAACAGCTTGATCTTCCCCATTTCCTTTGCCTTACTTGTCAAATTCGTTGCCAGTGCCGGATTGGCTGCGCGTTCATCCTGCAGGCCTCCGGCGGTCTCTGCCGCGGCGGGCGGGCTGGCGCCTGTGGGTTTTAAACAACTCTGCGCCTACACAGCAGCCTCTATTCAGGCGCGTTCATTTGCGTCGCCGCTTGCCGGAGCGTGTAAGAAAACACCAAGAGTGTTCAGCAATGGCACCTGTGCGCCGGCCTGAGAAGAAGTGCGCGCACGGGCGGCTGCGACGACAGTGCCGCGACTGCGGCGGCGCGTCGGTCTGCGAGCATGGGCGGCAGCGACGGCAGTGTCGCGACTGCGGCGGAGCGTCGGTCTGTGAGCACGGGCGGCAGCGACGTCAGTGCCACGACTGCGGCGGCGCGGCGATCTGCGAGCATGGGCGACAGCGGCACCAGTGCCACGAGTGCGGCGGCGCGTCGATCTGCGAGCATGGGCGGAGGCGGGATCGGTGCTGCGACTGCGGCGGCACGGCAATCTGTCAGCACAATCGACAGCGGGCGCACTGCTGCGACTGCAGCAACTTTGTATGTCAAATCCAGGGCTGTCCTCGGCAAGACCTCCCGTTTTCCGGAGCGCAGAGCTTGCTGGGACACAGGCGAACGATGCACGGCGACAACCCGCGCTCGGTGACCAAGAGTAAGGAGCTTGAGGTGCACCAGGCACTCCGCGACGCACAGATCGCCTTTGAGTACCAGCGCTACCTGCCCTTCCGTGGCTGCGCGAAGTCCCAGACCTGCCCTCCCCTAGCAGATTTGCGCGAAGTCGGCCGGGGCCGAGCGCGGCGCGCCATAGCCCTCATCGCGTTCATCCAGAGCTTGGCCAGTGCTCCTTGCCCTCGGGCCACGCAGCGTCCACGTCCGGCCCGCCGAGCGTGGCCGCCCAGTGTCTCTCGCAGGGCGACGGGGAGAGGCCGAGGCGCTCCGCCATGTCCGCGGTGTGCGGCCCGTACAGGCCCTTCCCGACCTTCCAGTTCAGCCCCGAGAGACACGTCTTGCGCAGCCAGCTCAGCCTAGCGGGTTTTCTTCTGGCAGGGCGACCGTCACGCAGGGCCGTTGGGCATGGGCAGCGTCCTTGCGGCCGGTACATGGCTTGAAGTCCAAGTACAAGATCCACTGACGGGCTCCTCGGGGTCGTAGTCCTCCTCGCCCAGCTCGTTGGCTTGAGCGAAGGGCTGGAAGATGCAGCTCAGCCCACCCATGACGGAGGCCGCACTCCTTGTAGGCCTGCTCGTCGGTGATGAGGTGAATGGGAGTCTCGCGGGCCGAGTGCCGCAGCATGGCGTTCCAGGCGGCCCCGGGCAGCGTGACGTAGTGGATGGGGTCGAGCCCCGACTGCGCCGGAAGGAGTCCCGGTAGCTCTCCATCACGTGAAGGAAGCGACAGCGAGCCGAGAGGCCCATGCCCATGGCCAAGGCTGCGCCAAAGGCGCGCCCAAGGCCAAGGCCAAGGCCAAGGCCGCGCCAAGGCCCCTCACCGGCTGGCCCTGCAGGCCGCGATCAAGCAGGGCGACAGCCACCTCTGCCTCCGAGTCCTCTGCAAGTCGGGCGAGAAGTGCCTGCAGATGAGCTGGGCCTGCTGAGGTTCGTGGACTTCCCCACGAGCCTGGCCAGCATGATCGACGACCTCAGGGCCTGCACTCGCTTCACCCCGAGCTGCAGCTGCGCACGCCGACCGACTCTCGCCCCAAAGACGGCCTCTCAAATCCCAGGGTCAGCCCCCGTCTGCTGGCCAGCGCCTGGAAGTTGTGGATCAGGCTGTAGTGGCCGCTGTGCAGGAGAAGGCACGGTGTGCTGGACGACGCCCGTGCCGCTCGGGGAAAAAATGGTAAAAGTAGGGGGCCTGGGGGGTGGTCTGTTGAGGGTTGCCTGTTCTGGTTTTTATGTTCATCTCAAATCTGTATTCCCCCTTATTCGTTTTTAAAAGAGGGTTTTTGGGGAGCTTGTTTATCGTTTTCGTTAAGGTAATCATTTGGGTAATTGTCCCCCTTGTTCATTGTTGGGCTAGGGGCAAACATTTTTTTCATTTGAAAGAGGTAGCCCTTTTAGTAGTTATCAAGTTCTGGGGTGTTGGTGGTTCATTTGTTTTCGTCTCGTTGCTTCGTCCCTTCGTCCCTTCGGTCGCCACGCCCCGTTCTTTCTCTACTTCAACGACTTCTTCGGTTATTCTGCGCGGTGTCCCAGAGATTGGAGCAAGGAACAGGTCATTCAGTCGTTGTGAGGTTGAAGCTTTTGTCGGAATGATTGACCATGTGAGTTTTACATTTCAAGCATCTGTTCAATCTCACCAGAGTTTCTTTACTCAAGCCAGAAGTGAATAGTTCAGTGCCACTTGCTTCATCATGTCTGGTGGCTACAACAAAGAGATGGGAGAGTTGGAGAATGTAGCATTCGGTGAGGTGCATGGGCTTGGTTCTGATGACAACGAGGACCGACGCCCAGATGGTGAAGACAATGACAACATCGGAGGTCGCAACGAGGAGCAAGAGGAAAGCGAAGAGGACGCAGAGTTTGAAGACGACCATCCTGTGATTTTCTTGGACAAGACGGACATCCAGAAGCTCAATGAAAAGTATGGGTTAGACCACAACTTGGTCGCACTTCTGGAGAAGACCAGCGACCCTTCCACCTTGCAGTTGCTCATCAACCAGATTGAAGAGACAATCAAGACGGAGCTCATTAAGAAGAAGACGTTGATGTCTGCGAAGACCCGCCTTCAGACACTCATCCGTCAGGCCAGGAATGCGGCTAAGGAGACAAAGGGCGTGAGCGTCAAGAGTCTTAAGAGGAAATCTACCTTCGCTATCATCGTGAATTACAATAACAAGGACTTCGAGTTGCAACTCAAGGGCGGGGGCACATTTCGCAATCTCAGGGAGAAGCTTCGCGCTTTGTTTCCTGATGACTTTCCGAGTCATGACAAGATGATGCACAAGATGGTCTTTAGCGTTGTCGGCAAGGATAAATCATTGAATGACAGCGGACGCACGGAGATGTCTGCGTGGGGTGCTTCGTCAAGCGGTCCTTTGGTCATCCGAGCCATTAATGCCAACCAAGCTTCCTCAAGTGGTGCTTCTGCTTCATCGACACCTTCCAAGGCGGCGGGACCTAAGCCCAAGGCCAAGAGCAAGGACACCAACAAGAAGGAGAAGAAGGAGAAGAAGTAGGCTTGAGTAGTAGAAGCCACCTTTCAGGTGTCGCGATGTGGAATCTCGCGGAGCAGAGACCCTTGAGTTATATGTTCATTTAAGTAAAGACAGACACAGCTTTGTAAAATCAAGGGATTGTGAGAGACACATCAGAGTGCTTCACCTGAACAAACCTTTCGATTTGTCGCATCACGTCGATGACCAAAAAGTGCCTTGAGCGATGCCATTCATGTTCAGTCTTCGACCACACACTCAGAACGACTTGAACCATTCTGTAGTCATTGACATCTCAGTGTTGTTGCCTCACTGTCTCACTCACTCGTTGGTGCGATGCCTTCAGTGGTGTTCGTTGAGAAGCAGGTGAGGGAGTTGGGAGCGGACAGGTTCATCAACATACCCTTCTTCGTGAAGAGTGGTGATGTGATTGGTTCTTCCACTTTGCCTTGGAAACCTTCAAAGATTGAGCTTCTTCAGTTGAGCCGTCCTGACCTGATGAAGATGGTTCCCTTCACGGTGGAGAAGAAGAAGAAGGCGACAAAGGAGGAGTTGGCCGTCATCTTGATGGAGAATTGGTCGGAGGTGGTGCAGTGTGCTTCGTCATCGTCTTCAGACCAGAAGGGCGGAGGATATGACGACGACAAGGAGAAGGACACGGACAAAGACAAGGATGAGGACAAGAACGAAGACGATGAGCCCTCGCTTCCGTTGCCCGAGGCAGAGGATGATGCCTTTGTCATCACCGTTCAGAAGACTTGGGACAATGAGTTCAGGAACTTTGTTGTCAGCGGCTTCTTCACGATTGCAATGCTCAAGGCGATGATTGCGGGGGTGTGGAACATTGCGGTTCGTGCCCAACGCATTGTGTTGAGGGGTGCGGACTGTGCTGACCATCTTACCTTTGACGACCTTGGTGTGTTTGATGCGGTCATCTTCCAACTCTTCATTCAGGGTGTTGGTGGTGCTGGAGTGAAGCGTCGTGCAATCACAATCGCTGACATGAAGCCCCTTGAGAATGACCACGCTGGGATTAAAGCCATCTTTGCCCTCTCGTCTTTCAACAGTCGTCCTTGGCTTCAGAGCATGGAGAAGGATATGGTGCGGGACTATTTGGCAGAACTTGAGAACAGGAAGAGCGTCCCACAACAGGTCTCTTCGACGGTGGAACGCATCGTCGAATACAAGACTGTGAAGGACGGGAAAGCGACAACACAACTACAGAGAACAACTTTATTTTAGAAGTAGTTGTAAATCGGTTTTGAACTACAGACCTTTCGTAGATGAACTACGACGCTCTCGTAGTTGCTTGCCCCCTCCTAATTTGTGGTTTTTCGGGTATGAAGTGCGGGGTCTTTGTAGTTGAAATGCGGGGTCTTTGTAGTTGAAATGCGGGGTCTTTGTAGTTGAAATGCAGGGTCTTTGTAGTTGAAATGCGGGGTCTTTGTAGTTGAAATGCGGGGTCTTTGTAATTGAAATACAAGATGCTTTCGACTCAAGTTGAACACCCCTTCAGGATGACTTCAACTTTTTGTCAGACCGTGTGTTGGCGAGTGAGCAGTATTTGAATTCGTTGGTGTCATCTGAGCTGACCACCTACAACAAGGGTGAGTGGATTGCTCTCGTTCGCAACCGAGGTCGTGATTTGGGACTTGAAGTGTAAGACATTCTGTTTGCGCGATGCGGAAAAGAACTGCCTTTCTGAGGGTCTTTGTCATTGAGTGAAGGTTGGATTGAAGGGTTTGTCTCGCTGTGTCTCTACTATCATGAGTTTATTTTGGTCGCTTTCCGCTTCGTATCCGAGGTTATGAAGTCATGCTGGACGACCACAACAAGACCGAGCCCCACTAGGTTCGGGAGTCGATACCGAACCTGTCCCTGAAAATAATTCTAATAATTTCATATTATTAGAACTATTTAGATAATTATTTTATCCTATAATGCCCATATGGTAATGAAGTGAAAGCATCATTATAAAACCTTTTATTTTCATAATTACTCAGACTTTGCTTGACTTGAGACATTGAATATATTTGATGCGACTTACTCCTAATAAAATTATATGTGATTTCATGCTTTTTGTTTTGAAATAATGCTTCGTGGTAGTTCTGATACGACAGTTCTTTTTTCACTTTGTGTTTCACTACACCTTTTGATTTCTTATGTTCATCATCCTCACCGTGAATTGTGAAGGCATATGATTTAGGTTTTAATCCGATGAATTTAGTAATGATTTTTCCATTCACTTCGTCCTTAAACATTCCTAAGACCTTTTTATTAGTTTTGTCATGACATGGATGCTCAACAGGATAGTCGCTAAAATCCATGTGTTGCTTTATATCATTGAAATCCTTATAGACATCATCAGTCAGTGTTTGAATTACATAACTGTCAGTATCAGTATATATCAATTTGATGTTTTCATTATACTTCTTTTTCAATACATCATAATAAAACTGATACATATGTAATTTGCTTAAATCTACAATACTCATTCCCAGGAAAATCGGTTTATCCAGTTTCAGTTTCGCTTTAGTTTTTTCAACTCCCACCAGATTTTCATTTATAATAAATCGGTTTTTGAATGTTGGATTATTAACGCATTTTTCATATCTTACCTCATTATCAACCAGTTCAAAGTCCATATGGTTTCTTTTGTGTTCCATAGTTTTTCCGTACACCGCGTTATTCATTAATTTGAATAAATCTTTCTCAAAATCGCTTTTGGCTTCTTTCCTTTTACCAGTGTTGAAGTCAATCCACGGTTTCAACCATGCCCTCTGTTGAAATTTTATTATCCTATGGACTTTTGTCATTTTCAATCCCATTTTCAAATAATACTGTAAAGTCTTAATATGAACCACATATTTTTCTTTATCCTTTAGATTTAATATTAACTTACTTGTTTTCTCGTCCTTGGGACTTTTACCATCATAATATATTTTGAAGACTTGCTTTTGATAATCGGAAAGCATACTAACATTTACATTCATTATTTCAGGCGCTAGTGGATAGTCAGAGTGGAAGTCGTGCAATGTTTCGGGATATTCCAAATCAACTTCCATAATATAACCAAACTCATCGTTTTCATTCCATGTTTCAACACTGGGCGTTTTCTTTGCCCACTTGATATTTTTTAGCGGTAACTTCTGGGACATTGCCAAACCATACAAGTTATTAGCATCCAAGTAACTAATATAATTTGATGGCTTGTTCTCATCGTATGCTTCCCCCATATACTTATTATTTGCCACTGCTAATTTATGACTTACCTGACACATTCCTCCTCTCATTCCCTTTTCAACCATCTCAAACATTTCTTGGTCATGCAATTGTTCTATTTCAACACCAGTTTTTAGAAGCATCGCGTCCCATGCGAAATTTGGCAATGTGTAATAATGATCGGGGTCTAAACCGTAGTATTCCATACACAAGTCTCTAAAGTTTTCAAATACATCGGTCAGTAGTAAAACATCAGTTCTTAAATACAAGTCGTGATACTGTCCGAGTGTTCTAATCCCGAAGTGCTTCCATACTTTCAGTGCCCTTTCATAATCTTTATCGCTTACATGTTCTTCACTCAATTTACTGTAAAACGCTTCTTTCGGTGGTAAAGCCCTTTCCTTAAATCTTTCAAAATCATCAAAGTAGTCATAGTGATAAATACCCTTATCAGTCAATAAATCCAAATCTTCATCGGTTTTAACATACGGGTTTCTAACGCTGTATCTGAAATTGTTCTTCCAATTCTCACGCTTTTTATCATCCTCGTATTTACTCAACCTGACCAACTTATCCAACGAAGACGATAAGAAACTGAAACTGTCCTTGAAACAAAGATTTTTAAAACCATAGGTTATAAACTTTTCGCTGTTCTGAGCGATACATTCTATTTTAGAATTCTTGTTCAGTTCGTGAGCCTTGTTGATGATTAAGTGGGCATCGTAGTTTTTAAGTTTATGAAGAAACACAGGGATTTTATAATATCTCATACTAAATCGTAGATTGCAGTCCTCGTGGGCGCATCCTCTATACTGCCCCGTAAAGTGGCAATGGTCCCAACACTTCTTTTCTCCTTCCTCAAATTTGTTTCCACAAATGAAGCAGTTAGTGGCATTATTGAAGTCCTCCCAGTCCTTCTCGGTTTCAATACGGTCTTTGTCCTCCTTCATTTTCTCCAAAACTTCCTCTCTGTCTTTATTGATTTTCTCAACAAATTTATCCATACAATCCTGACCTCTATATAAGTAAGGCTCACTACTTCCGGTTATAGCATTGACTACATTAATCATAAAACCACACGGACGATGATTTTGATATGATGTAGTTTTAGCTTTTGCCGATTTGCTTTTAACATCAATTGGCACAGTTAAACATTCAAATTCGGCATAGATTACGAATGGAGCTTTAAGTTTCTTGAAATGGTTTTTGAATACTATTGTTTCACCTGCTTCTGGCATTTCTATTTTTTGACCCTCAACTGCTAGACATCCCTGTTCTTCGTGTTTCTTTAAAAGTTCTTCGGTCTTGAAACCATGTGAGCAGGTTCTACAGTGATACTTCTTCGCCATCATCTTGTTAGTCTGACTACTCATTAACTTATCATAATTTTTGATATAAGCGTAATGGGATTTAACATCATCAGTCAATTTAATCAAATCGATTTTGTGTTGTGCTTGTGGGTTGTTGCTTCTTTTGTATAATAAAATAGTTTTACTATTTGTATCGGGGTTTATGTAATAAACATTGACCGATATGTGTTTGTTCTGTTCTTCAAATAGTTCAATCTCATCATTACCTACTGGAAAGTCAATATTAACCCATTTGATAAATTTGTCATCTACATATTTCTTATAATGATACATCTCGCAGGGATGGTCTTTTTTGAATAACTCATAAAATCCACATTGAACGGAATATTTAAAACATAAGTCGTCCTCAATTTTAATGTTAATACAAGCCTTTTTGTTTGCCACCCAGTCGGGCAATGGAATAAAGGATGAACCACGGGTAGGATTGTACCTATCATAACTGATGACTAACTTTTCAACTTGACCAAGAACCAATCCCGACTGAATGTATTCGGTTATTTCAATTTTTGTCTCAATGTCGTGCCCAATGTTGTTTAAGACGGTGTTCAACTCGTCGGGATTATGAATATTGTATCTTCTGCTTCTTAACCGCCTTTGAATAAGTTCGTTGGCGGGATTTTTGAATGATAAATCGGTTTCCACGATTATTTTCATGTTCGGGTTTCTGTTCAGGAATTCGGTCAGTCTTTGCTTCTGGTATTTTAAGTAGGATAAACCTTTCATTCCCTTTAATCTTATATCACTTACCGAGTAGGTGTTGGCGTATCCCTTGAACGCTTGTTGCTCGTCTGTGATTTTGGACTTGAAACGCTTGACATAATCCTGTAAGGGTCTGCCTCTCGTTAGTTTTAGATAATTAGCACCTTTCATTAAAAGGCCATGCTTTCTATATCCTTCACTCCTTGCCACTTCCTTTAGTTTCGTGTTCAATACGTTTGAAACTGGTTTGTTCTTATCATATCTGTAGGTCTTATCACCTATTTTGAGTTTTTGTGTTTGCCTCCCTTCTTTTTGTATTAATTCGCCTTGTTGGCTGTTTAAAATGAAATCTATGATTTTATTTTCTGTCATGGAAACCATAATACTATACTCTATATAATATAAGGTATTTTCTCTTTAAGTAGTTTTTTCGGGTAGGGGGTCAGTGTTCAGTATTTGTGTTTTCTGGTCAAATTTCAACGTGTCAATGTATTTGTTTTATTTACATAAGAACGCTTAAAGACTGGACAACTTATGATACAATAGGATATGAATAGATATGAGAATGGTAAGATTTACAAAGTCGTTGATTTGTCTTACAATGAATGTTATATCGGGAGCACGTGTGAAAACCTAAGTCAAAGAATGGCACGTCATAGACAAGAATATAATAGATTTCTTGAAGGGAAGCGAAGAAATATTACCGTTTTCCAAATATTTGACAAATACGGTGTTGAAAACTGCAAGATTGAACTTCTGGAGAACTACCCTTGTAATAGTAGAGAGGAACTAATGAAAAAAGAAGGAGAAAACATTAGAAACACAGTTTGTGTAAATAGGACTATACCAGGAAGAACTAAGAAAGAATGGAGGAAGGATAACCCAGAAAAGACAACAGAGAGTTCCAGACAGGCATCGCTACAACGCTATTACAACAACAGAGACGAGATACTAGAAAAACGACAGGAGAAAGTGGAATGTTCAGTTTGTAAAGCTCAAGTGTTTAAACATTATTTACCCATTCATAAACAATCTAGATTTCATTTAAACAATGACGAGAACACAACTTAACGCATTAATCTCATTAAGTGTTTTTAATAAGATGAATGATTATTATTTTTTCATAATGTGCATTGCGAATTTTATCATGAAGTAATATGATAGACTCAATAAGTATAGAACTTCGCGTCCATACCAAATATCATATCAAATACTGATTTATAAATTTTTCTTATATGCTACGGATCATTTATTAGTTTGCATTGTCGCGAAGCTTGCGAACAAATTTTAGATTTCTTGTGTTTAGATAAATTTGATTTGCTTGATATCGTCCTTCCACAGTCCGCACAAGTGTAAGACTGTTTTAGGTGTT